CTCCCAGCCGGATGGAGAAAAAGGGGTGGAGGAAAGCAGATCGATGGCGGCAGCAAGGGGCGGAAGAGCCGCCGCCATCTCGACCCTCGGCGAGGGCGGGCCTGCCCCGGGCCGACCGCAGCTCGCAGAACACTCGCGGCAGAGTGCCGGCGAAGAGCCTGTCTTACCGCCTCTGGCCAGCAGCCCCCGCCCCCCCCCCACACGTAGGTGTTGATGGCGAGCAGGCTGCACGACGCCTAGCCGCCCTCGCGCGAAGCGCGAGAAAGTAGTTCAGGGTGTGGAAGAATCCGGCCAATGGGGCGCTGCAGCCGCAGGCCGCGGCGGGCCCAACTAACCCCCCCCCCCGAAGGCCACCGGCCCCTTCCCCCTGTGGGAGGGCGGCGCGCTCGCCCTCAAGGGGGCGGCGACGACGGGGAGGTCGCGCTCCTGGGCGCCCTGCTGGTGGTGCCCGTCGCGGTCTCGTGCAGGGCGACAAGCGAGGGGGCAGGCTCCGCGTGGATGCGACCCGTAGCCTGTCCGGCGTCTTCGTCGCAACTGGATTTCACACGACGCATGCAATTCTCGAGGATCGGGCCACCTGGAAATCGCCAGAGAGAGCGAGGGTGGCGTGGATGGCAGACGTGCCGACGCTGGCGCTGGGCTCCGAGATCCCGGTGCGGACGACTCCTCGGCCTTCCTCCCCATGGCTGTGCTCGGGGTCGTCGCCTTCTGCGGCTGCGTGGCCTTGTCGGCGAGCTTAGGAGGAGGAGGAGGATGAGGAGGAGGAGGAGGAGGAGGACGACGACGACGGGACGGTGGATGCCCTCATTGTGATTGGAGCCGGCGCCGAAAGCGTGGGTGTCGGCGCGGCGAAGCCTGGCCGCCGCCTCCTCCGGCCTGACCGCCGCCTCCGTATCGACGTCGACCTCCTCCGCGGCAACGTCGGCATCCTTCTCCACCGTCTCCCCCTCTTTCCTAGCCTGGACGCTGGCCTCGTGGTGGTCGTGAGGCCGTCGTCCTGGGTCCAGGTGGCGTGGCAGAGGCGAGTCCAGCAGCGGCGACGGGGGAGGGGTCTTCGGTGACATAGCATGGAGGACTAGGTGATGGGGGCCACCGAGGGGATCCGGAGGGGGGATCCCCATCTTGACGAATTCTTTTGGGCTGGTGCCCAGGTCTACTCAGGGGCGGAGCGCCCAAGGGGGCAAGAGGGAGGGTGGTCCCTTTGAGGCAGTCTGAGGCCGTTGTCCAGCAGGAGGCCGTTGTCCTGGGCCGTCAGGGCGTCCGGCAGGAGGCCGCCGTGCGGCAGGAATGAAGGGCTGCATGGCGAGGTACTCGGCGTTCTCGTAGCTGTGGTCTCGGTCGTCGCAGTGGTGCTGGCCGTGGCTGCAGTCGCGGCTGTGGCTGTGATCGTCCGTGCGGTCGATGCTGGTCTCGGCCGGGACCCGGACGACGATGTACCAGCACTTCGTGCTGCTCTGGGTCGGGTTCTCCTTCCCGTGCCTGTGGACGGCGGCCTCCAGCGCGGCCGCGCGCTGGCGTGGGGGGCCTCACGCCTGACCACCGCAGGCCCCCACACGGCGAGGAGGAGGAGGAGGAGGAGGAGGAGGAGGAGGAGGAGGAGGAGGAAGAGGAGGAGGACGAGGAGGAGGAGGAGGAGGAGGGAGGAGGAGGAGGTGAGCTGTCGCGCGGCGCGTGCTGGGCCGCCACGCATTCGGGCAGCCCTCGCAGCTGAACTGGCACTCCGGCGCGGGCTCCGGGGCCGCCGTCGCCGGGCCAGGCGCCGCGCTGGTCGCCACCCGCGGGGGGCAGGCGCCCACCCCCCCCACCGAGCGCGAGGGGGGGGGTCACCGCAGGTGGCGACCTCCTCCTCCTCCTCCGCCTCCTCCTCCTCCTCCTCCTCCTCCGCCTCCGCCGCTGCCTCCTCTCGCTCGGTCTCCGCCTGCTGCTGCTGCTGCTGCTGCTGCTGCTGCTGCCGGTCCTTCTCCGCAGCCTGCTCCTCTTGCCTCCCCCAGACTTCTTCCTCCTCCTCCTCTCCTCCTCCTCCTCCTCCTCTCCGCCTCCGCCTCCGCCTCCGCCTCCGCCGCGCCTCCTCCTCCTCCTCCTTTCTCCTCCTCCTCCTCCTCCTCCTCCTCTCCTCCTCCTCTCTCCTGCTTCTCCTCCTCCTCCAATTCCTCCCTCCTCCTCCTCCGCCGCTGCCTCCTCTCGCTCGGTCTCCGCCTGCTGCTGCTGCTGCTGCTGCTGCTGCTGCTGCTGCTGCTGCTGCTGCTGCTGCTGCTGCTGCTGCTGCCGGTCCTTCTCCGCAGCCTGCTCCTCTTGCCTCCCCCAGACCTTCCTCCTCCTCCTCCTCCTCCTCCTCCTCCTCCTCCTCCTCCTCCTCCTCCTATTCCTCCCTCCTCCTCCTCCTCGGCCTCCTCCTCCTGCTTCTCCTCCTCCTCCAATTCCTCCCTCCTCCTCCTCCGCCTCCTCCTCCGCCTCCTTCTCGTCCTCCCCATCCTCCATCACCGAATTGCCTCTCCCCTGCTCCTGCCCAGCTTGCTGCCCCGCCCCGGGCGTGCCGAGTCGCTCTGGGATCTTGCCGGGCCGGTTGGCGAGGGGATCAGGGTTCCCTTCGCGCCGACCATGGGTACTGACTCGAACCTGTGGCGGGAGGGAGAATGGGAAGGCGGGCTTAGACGATGGCATGCGAGAGAAGACTCGAAGACGATACATTGGGAATCTCTGAGAGCTGGCGACTCTGGAGGTTGTATTGGGCGCCGCGGCCCTTCCAGAGCGCTCTAGAATGCTCTAAGAGCATTCCGGAACGCTCTGCAGCAACGTGTCCTCATCCTAGGCCTGCCTGTGGAAAGAACCGGGGAGAGGCTTGGACATTTCAGCGGTTCTTTGAAAGCTTTGGAGCGTTCCAGAGGCTTCTGGATGGTGTTCGTAGTTCCTAGCAGGTTCCCAGAGACCGAGCAACTCCAGATTAGGGGATGGGGATGGAAAGAAGGGAAGAGGAAGAGGAGACGGAGGAGTGTTTTACCTTAGTTTGCATGATTTATGTTTGCAAGCATGGCCCCTAACAACAGTGGCGTTTGCGCTCTGGATGTGTAAGATGTTCCATGCAAGCTACGTGGTGCTCGCCACGCGATGCCATAGATTAGTGAACCATTTGCACACTTAATGGCACAAGCGGTGCATGCTATGCGGTGCAAGCTACGTGGTGCCAATCTGGTGGTGCAAAGTACGTGGTACAAGCTGTGTGGTATGAAGGTTTTGCTGCAAGCTACGCGGTGCAAACTATGTGGTGCAAGCTATGTGGTGCAAGATATGTGGTACATTCTTACTGATGCACCCTGCGTGGTGCACTCTGGGTGGCGCAAGCAATGTGCGCAAACGGTCGGCGACCTGGCAACAAAAACGAGTCAACGCACAAAGCACACGCCAGAACACACGGGCGCCGATCAGGCAAAAACCCGGGGAGTCCTCCCAATCAATCAAATGAAGGGGCCCTGGGACACACAAATAAATACACACAAATAAAAATATGCCCCATATTTTACCCTATTTTTTGGATTTTCGTTTCCCCCCCCACTTCACATATTTTCCCATATTTTCTGGGGGATCGAAGATTAATTGCGTCTGTGTGTTATTTTCCCTCCTGATCAAGAAGCAGCGCAAGAACCACCTAGTGAAAGCACAGCTTCGGTGAAAAAAAACGGCTGTGTGGCTCTAGGGTGTGGGAGGTCTCGGGGGCTCGAGGAGAGGAGGAGACGGAGGAGCAGGAGGAGGAGGAGGAGAAGGAGGAGGAGGAGGAGGAGGGAGGACGCGGAGGGAGGAGGGGGAGGGAGGAGGAGGAGGAGGAGGAGGAGGAGGAGGAGGAGGCGGAGAAGGAAGTCCGGGGGGAGGCAAGAGGAGAAGGCTGCGGAGAAGGACCGGCAGCAGCAGCAGCAGCAGCAGCAGCAGCAGCAGGCGGAGACCGAGCGGGATGAGGCAGCGGCGGAGGAGGAGGAGGAGGAGGAGGAGGAGGAGGAGGAGAAGGAGACGGGCGCAGGAGGAACAAGGAGGCGGAGGAGGAGGGAGAGACTTGGAGGCTCCTGATCAGCGCGCGGTGGCCGGACTGTGGCAGCGAGTGCACCTAGGAGGCGCACCAAGTGTAGACACTGCGGGTCCGCGTGCGTACGGAAGCGGTGGAAGGCAACAGTACGTGACGACCTACCAGACCACCCCAACCCAACCCGAAGACCCGAATTTCGGGTTGGGGGGGGTAAGGGTTCCACATGTGTTTTCTCGATGTTTCCCGCCCCCCCCCCCACTGGAAATCGAGGGTGAATTTGAGCCTTCGGGTTGGGTTGGGGTTGTTTGGTGGGTGGTGAGTACGCGCGCGAACAGAGAAGAACAGAAAGACCTTCCCCTGAGGCGATCTGCGAACGGAGCAGTGCACGGCCTTGTGGAGGACGGCCACGATCTATGCCACGCCGCTCATCGTGGCCACGCCCGAGATCGCGTCCCTCCTCTTGGCCACAACGGACACTTAGCCATGGCTTGTCCTCGCCGCAGGCGACGACCGTGCCGTCCTTCAGGAAGCTCAGGAGCCACCTGCACCACGCGCCTCGTCTTGGCCATGCAGCACACCTGGCAATCCGCCATTGCCGCAGGTGGCGACCGTGCCAGCTTTCCTGCGGCTCGGTCTGCGCCAAACGCCGGCAGCGACCTGCACCACACCCCTCGTCTAATCACAAAGACGGAAAGGCGGCGACCGCGCCGTCGTCCTTCAGGCGGCGCGGGCTGTGCCGGACGCCCGCATCGACCTGCACCACGTCCCTCGCCTCTTGGCCGCGCCGGCCACCTGTTTAGACGCCCGAAATTGGTACGGAAAGAATGGGTACAATGCCCAACAACAACTGTTGTCCCAAACCAACAGCGGCCGCTGTTGGGCAGGCGGCCTTCTGTCTGTCTGTCTCGAATGGACACAGGCCGCGGCGGCGTGGACAGCGAGTCCTGTTCAAAATGAACCAGATCCGCTGTTGGGCCTTGTGCCCATTCTTTCCGTGCCCAATTCGCTCGTGCAGAACCCGGGCATCCTCGCCCCTGCCGCCGAAGGGGGCCCGGCCGCCCCGCCCCCCGCACTCGGCAGGGACCGCGGCAGCCGCGGGCAGCGCCCGGCGCCGCGCCGCCGCCGCCGCGCCCTGGCCGCGGCGGGCGCCGGGCCGAGCGCCGGGCCCCGAGGCGCAGGCCGCGGCGCCGCGGCGGCCCCTCGTGGGGCACAGGCCGCGGCAGGCGCCTCGCAGCGGCAGCCTCGCCCCCAGCTGCCCATAGGCGCGGCCAGCCGGGGGGGCAGCGCCGCCCGGGGCGGGCACCGCCATGGCCACCCCACGGGGGGCGCGCAGTTTTTTTTTTGTTTTTTTTTTTTTTTTTGTTCTCCCCGAGGGGTAGAACAAACGCTTGTTTAACGGAAGAGGAAGGAGGCGGCCTCTTCCTCAGCATCGAGAGCAGGCCCTGGAGGCGGCGCCTCCTGGGCCTGTCCCCGAGGCCCCAGGGAAGGAGCCTCTTGGGCCGAGCGCCCCGACGCAGGGCCCCGAGACCCACCAGGAGGCCCCAGCAAAAGCGGGCTCCGAAAACCTCCTCCTTCCTCACCCAGCTCCCTGGCCGCGACGCGGCGCCGCATGGCCTCCAGCGCTGGGAGGAGCTCGCCCTGCTGGGCGGGGAGGTGTACAGCACGTCGCCGAGGTTGCTGCGTCTGCAGCAGCCGCAGGCGATCCACATCTGAAAGGATATGGAGGACCACCCCTGGCGCACGATCGGACTGGGGGTGGAGGCCTCTCATCATTCTGCCAAGACGACAACGCGTGGCAGAGGAAAACAAACGGCCTGGACATTCGTTCTCAAGTCGTCGGCTGAGGCGCTCCGTACTATAAGCCCCACATCGACGACAGAAGACCAGGGAGGGACAGCTCGAAAGACGAGTGAACACCAAAGAATGGCCCATCATCTCTCGGTCCCTCAAAAACTGAAAGTTCGTACGCTTCCCAGGGCAGCCCCTCATCTCCAGCCTGGCCGCACACGTGTTGACTGCTCGGGCTTGGCAATCGTGACAGATGAAGCTACCCTGAGTGGCTGGAACCGCCGTCCAGGCGTGCCAGCGATGAGCTCCTATCTCTCGGGGTCGGGGAACCTTTGGGCGATCAGGGAACTGAGCGACAGGGAAGAGGGGCAAGACCGCTCCCACGACTCTCGCCGCAGCTCGGGCCCTGTCTATCAGCCGATCAAGCTCTTCGAGGTCCCCCTGACTATCCCGAGCATGGAGCAGCACAGCATTCTTAGCATAAAGGTCCGCCGCTCGATTCGCGAGGCCGATTCGCCTCTCCGTCGACGGCAGAGCTTCGATGTCCTCTAGACTCCGATGAGCTGGGGTGCGAAACGCTTGCCCAATGAAGGGGGCTCCAGCTCGAAGAATCCGCGTCTGAGGCCAGCATACTTCGAGCGGCTCGATAAAACCTGAGACTGGCTCTGATTGTGCATCCGAACAACGCCGAGACAATCAGAGTGAACCTGGACGGGCTGACGTACAACGAAGGCAGGCGCAATGATCGCCATCTGCTCAGCAGCCTGAGGGGTCTGAGGCAGGGAAGGCCATACAGGCCCTTGAAATCTAGCTACTATCTCCTCGGACCCCGACCGCATGTACACGCCAGCATAGGCCGCCCTCGAGAGCTCACGGATGGGGCTTCGCGTGCACGACCCATCCACGACGACGTCGACGACATCTCCCAACACCGAGAGGTCCTCAAGGGGTCGGCCATCCTGACCAAACACGGCAGGATACAGCTGGTCGGTCGGGGGCTGGAGGTAGCACGACGGATGCTTAAAAGCCAGACGGGTCCACAAAAGGATTTCGCGACCCGCCTGGACAGCCTCAGCGATTATCTCCGCGCTACACGTACTCTCTCTCTGGCCTCGACCACCTCAGGGGCCTGACAGCACCACAGCCTATGATGGAGGCCATCGGCCCCACCACACAAAGGGCACCTCCCATCAGACTCATATCCAAGGGATTGCAAACGATCACTAGTGAACACAGCCTTAGTGAAACAGCTAGCTATGGCATACTTCTGTCGTGCACTATACTTCTTCGACCTAGACACACACGAGCGCACTAAGTCAACAAATACACGCGCACCGTCACCTTGCATGCCTAAGCTACGTGCCATGCCACGTTCATGCTGTCTCTGGACGGCCTCACGCAGGAGATGCTTGATGAGGGAAGGGGGGGTATACAGTGGAGAGAGCTCAACTCCTCGATCGTCGATCCACTCCGAGAAGTTCTCGGGCTCCCAGCTGACCCTCTGGAGGCACATCAACATTCGAACGATCGGGCCCTTCGTCTTTCTCCAAGACATCTCAGGACCCCACTTATCATGAACCTGCTGAAACATATCTGCAAGCTGCGGCATAGTGAAGAGAGAGCGCTTCTGCGCAACCGCCGTCTGCCAGATCGCGGCTGCCCACTGCACCGCGGGAGCCACAGCAGCATCGGCAACAGGGTCGCCGTGCAGCACACACTTCGCCACTAGCGAGGCCCCTCGATGCGAGGGCGCCTTGAAGCTGAGGAGCGTAGCACGAGCCCGTCTGAGCTCATGATCACCCATGCCCAGCACCGC